CCAGGCCACAGCAGAGAGCTGGACTGGAAGAAGAACAGCCGGGACCAGAACCAGTGCCGACGTGGGATGTCGGCGCCGCAGGATTAACTACTGCGCCACAGTGCCGGCCCCGGGCCATCTTCTGCTGCTTCCCCAGGTGCATTAGCAGGGAGCTGGATCAGAAGTGGGGCCCACACCGCTGCTCATATATGAGGCTAGCATCGCAGGTGGCAGTTTAACCTACTGTGCCACAGCGCTGGCCCCTGGTGATTGTCTTTTTGATAGGTGAGGGAGAGAATGAGGCAAACTTCTCCCCACCAGCACTCACTTTAAATAAGACGTGCAGGGACACCGACACCCACTCCCGGGTCACTTTGTCAGAGCAGAAGACTGGCTGAGTCTGCATGGAAAGCAACTCCCAGGGGCTCGCTGCTCAGTGGGTGCCTGGCGATGCAGGGAAGAAGACCTGTTGGGTGGCCGTGGCTCTGGGGCCTGCCCTTTCATGGATACTATTTTCTTTTAAAGATTTATTTATTTATTTGAAAGCCAGAGTTACAGAAAAAGAGGGAGACATACACACACACATACAGAGACAGGCAGACAGAGATCTTCCATCTGTTGGTTCTCTCCCCGAATGACCACAAGGCTGGGGCAAGGCCAGGAGCCAGAAGCTTCTTCCAGGTCTCTCCCATGGGTGCAGGGCCCAAGCACTTGGGCCACCCCCCGCTGCTTTCCCAGGCCATTAGCAGGGAGCTGGATCAGAAATGGAACAGCCGGGCCTCGAACTAGCGCCCATATAGGATGCCGGTGGCTTTACCTGCTACACTGCAATGCTGGCCTCGATAGATATGCAGGCTTTTAAGGACTGCGAGTCGTGCAATGAGAGGAGAATCCCCTCCCTCGCCTACTCTCCCAGAATTCCAGGGGCACCCAAGTCCTTGGCCCTTTGAGTCTCTTGGCCACTTCATAGGTCACACCAGGATCACCTGGGAGAAAGGGGGAGCAACTCCAGTGACGGGGACATGGGTAGTCTGCACATGGGGCGCATCTGGGTCGGGCAGGGGCTGCCGATGGAGTGACCTGCCCCAGGCCCCCGGCCAGTTCTTCCCAGGACAAGCCCTGGCCACGGCTCAGGTGGGCAGCTTGTGGTGGCCGAGCCCGGGACCATGCTTCCGCCATGTCTTTCTAGCCTTTTAGAATCAGACCTGGAAAAAGTTTCCTTTCGTCAGTTCTTGGAGAAAGCAAACTTGGCTGCAGTACAAAGTGCTCGCTGGGGCCTTTGAAAGAAGAGAATGAGAGCGAGAGCAAGAGAAAAAGAGAGAGAGAGATGACCTTTTGAGAACACTGCTTCAGTCTACGAGCTGCCCACTGTGGCCCCCACGGCCCCCGCTGGGCATCTTTAGGGAAAGGCTCTGCTGGGGCGCCCATGGAGAGGAGATGGGGAGGAACTAACACCCCCAGTGCCTGAGGCCTGGGGGTCCCCCAGGCCCGGCTGCTTGCTGAGCCTCGGTGCCTAGGCTCAGCCTAGCTCTTGGCCCTGGGCTGCATACCTCCAAGCCTGTGCAGGAAGCCTGTGGCTCTCCAAGCCGGCACAGAGCTGCACTCTGCTGTCACCCTGGCTCGGATGCCTGGCTGCGGGCCCTGGGCCGTCCCCAGCTTGGCTAGGGGCTGATGTCAATAAGCACATTTATCTCAGACCTCATTTTCCGAGGCATTGCATCCCCTTGGGGACACCAGCAATCAAAATGTCCATTGTTCCTCATGGGGCCACAGCTCTTCACCATGTGACATTTAATTGATGGCTGCTGTCCTCCTTTTTTTTTTTTTTTTAGCACATCACATGTTAGAGTCCCAGCTCTTCCCCATCTGATATTTAAATGACTGCTGCTGTCCCCCATAGGGTTTTTAGCAGATCACATCTTGTTAAACAGAGCTTCAGCTCTTCCCCACCTGACATTTAACTGATGGCTGCTGTCCTCCATAGTGTTTTTAGCAGATCACATGATGTTAAGTAGAGTCCCAGCAAAACGTTAACTCCTTTGCCCCCACAGCAGAGATCTGTGGCTCTCCTAGCATCTATCTAACCTGTTGTAAGCTCTTCAAAGCGTGGTTGCTTGTGTGTCATAGGTCAAACATTCAAATGCCCCCTCCGCCCTGAGCCTGGAACCCAGCCCAGCTCGCACACGGGCATTCCCAGATGAGCGAGGGGGGAGAGCCAAACGTCCCAAGTCTGGGAGAGGAGGAGCTGGGCAGCGGAGTCCCCTCCCTAGAGGGACCCAGGTCTGCATTCAGAACCCTGGATGGCTCACCGGGCGCTGCACACAGCGGTGGGCAGAGGAAGCGGGGAGTCACCAACAAACCCAGGCTGCCCCAGGCCTGTGTTCCAGCCGGGTCTCTGCGCCCCCACACACACCCGGCCTCAGTTTCCTTATGTCCAGCAGGGGGTTGTGAAGCCGAATACGGAGGGGTGGCTGTCCCGGGACCACCCCCCAGGCCTTGCCAGCTGAGTTCCTTCCTGAGTCCTGGGGGCAGTGGGGTTTATAGCCACAAGTGGGCCCATGCCTGTGGGTCAGGAGGCTCTTGGCTGGCCCGCTCCCTCCCCCCACTCCTTCCCCTGCATGGTTGGGATTAACATGCATCCCTTGAACCTTTTCATTTTTCTGCTGAGATGGAAAGTTGGCCAGTGCCCAGGCCTGGATGTGCTCACAGCGTGGCTGGGCGCAGGCCAAGCCTGTGGTAATTGTGATCATATGTGAGGCGCTGGCTCGCTGGGCGCCGGGGCCCCAGGGGACACGCGGCTGCCAGGCAGGGAGGGACAGGGCAGGGTGCTGGGCTGCTGACCCTGGGCTTCCTGTGGATGGAATGGGGGTTGGGGGTACAGGACCTCATGCCGACAGTGTGGGCTATCATGAGGTCTGGACTAGCTCTTGGGTGTCCCCGGGACACCCCCACTCCCATCCCCCCAGCCTGGTCTCACAACGCACAGAGAAGGATGCTGACCAGGGTACGGCGGGAGGGTCGCAGGTCCCTGCCCCCGCCTCATCAAGCGAAGGGCTTTCTCAGAGCTCACAGAGCCCGGAGGAGCACTGTGAACCAGGAAGGCAAGCCTGCAGAGGGAATAAGATGCTTGGGTGTCTGAGAGAAGGGTCTGGAAGGGAGTGGCAGAGGGTACCGCCGTCTGACCGTGTTAGGTGGAAGATAGAAATTAGACTATGTGTATGTGTATGTGTGGGGGGGGGGCAGGTGGTGGTGCTAAGGAAGACAAAAGTTTCTTTGGAAAGTAACAGCCTCGGCATCACACCTGGGAAGCAAAGTCCTGCCCAGACTCGGGTAACTTCACAGGTGGTCTCAGCCTTCCCCCCGGGGGGGCTCCCCAGGAGAACCCTCCCTGCTCAGCACCAGGTTGGTTCCCCAGCCTGAGAACACGGGGCCACGCAATCTTCCCAGCCTCCCCCCAAGGAAAGCGCCCTGGGGGGGCTCCTCTGCTGGGTGCCAGGTGGGCCCGCCAGTCTGACAGCACCGAGTGGTGAAACCTTGGGAGGAGGTCACCCAGTTCACGGTCAGGGCACCCTTTGACTGGAGGAGAGGGAGGAGGGGAAGGAGATACGGCGAGAAGACCTGGACCCCGTTCCCTTAGAAGCCCCAGCGTGAGTGCAGACTGTGTCTCAGCTCTCAGCTCTCTCCTGAGCCGCCCACCTGGCCCACCAGGTGTATTCTCTTCATTGCGCCATGCAGCCTTGCTTCCCCCAGGCTGAGTGACCCGACACTTGCTCTTGGATCCTGTCTGGAGCGGTGCCCACCCGTTCTGATGGATGCCCCACTCCATTCAGCCTTACTCCTCTCCATCTCACGTCTGAATTCTTTCTTGAGTGAAGGAAAGAACCTACCCCACCCATCTCCGCTAACAACTTCAACCCCCTCCCCCTCCATCACCTGGCTGTCAGCTCAGAGCTGGGGCTGCTCCTCAGCTTGGGTTCATCCGGGCTCCAAGGTGATGTGGCTCTGAGCACTGCTGGAGGAACCTAGATAATTCTCCACTCAGAGGGCTGTTGTGTCTTCCATTCCTATGGAGTCGCAGAAAGCCCGAGACTAAAGAGCAGGTGAAGCGCTGTGAACCGTGGTTAGGTAAAAAGCAGCCTGCAGGAGGCGACAGGCAGGGTTCCTCCAACTCATGCAGCCGTAGGGCCCGCGCCTCCCCCTCTGCTTTCCCAAGTCTCTCCTCACCTCTTCCTTCACCCACCCCCTCACATCCTCCCCTCTGTTTCTCTCTCCTTCTCCCTTTTGATGAAGAGGAGCAGCGTGAGCTCTCGGAGAGAGGACGACTTGAGAATGGGGCAGGCTGACCTCTAGGAGCCTCCGGCTTCCCAGCTGGGAGACTGGGCAGTGCCCTCCCTGGCCTGCGTGGCTGAGCGGATGGGAAAGGCTCTCCCACGGCATTATTGTCTGGCTGGGATGCCAGCTCCCCTTTAGATAGTCCAAGCTCTCAGGGTGTGATGCAAGGGGCAGACAAAAGGGCTGCACTAGGAACGGCCAGGGGAGCCGCGGTCAGACCCCACCTCCGGAAGCGCCAGGACTCTGGATGCGACGGGGGTCTTCCCATGCACGGCAGAGCCCGAGGGCTCAACGTGTGGGAGCCAGCCTGAAAGCTGAGGCCAATTGCACGTCCCCTGGGGCCACGGCAGGGAAGGGCTTGTCCACATCTTTGACCTTGCCTCTTCATGCTGGGGAACAGAGACTGCAAAGCTCTCCTCTGGAGGCAGAGGATGTGCAGAGGTGGCGCGGGGATGCAGCCAGTGCTGGCTGTACAGTCCCAGCCTGCCTTTCGGGGCACTGGCTTCCCGTCTGCCCAACCCAATGGCCTTTCCCACGCCCTCGGCTGCATTTGGCGGGGAAGAGGTTTCCATCAGCCACGGTGTCCGGGGAGGAGGGGCAAGGGCTTAGGAAGAGGGAGGGGGAAGAGGCATTTTACAGCTTGTTGAGACACGAACAAAAAGTGATTTAAAAACTTGTTGTCTTTACAGAGTTCACACTATGAAGTCCTGGACACAGGGGGAGGGGAGAGCCTGGACTTCAGAACCAGACAGCTGCTGTGGACCCTGGGTAAGCCCCCCTGCCCCGTCTCTCATCCAGGGAGTGGATGGGGCTGGAGTCTGAGGTCGCTTTTAGTCCCCTTCTCCTTGACGCTCTGATTTGCAAGAACAGAGACAGTGTGCTTGGCTCTGAGAATGGGACTCTCCACCTCCCCCCGCCCCCCGGCTCCGCCCTCTGCCTGTAAACCTGCTCGGGTCTCCGCCTCCTTCGGAGATGAGCTGCTCTGTTGTGCTCCCTCCTTTTACCTCCAAACCTCCAGCAGGAACTGTGGGAGCAAGCAGTGAGGAGAGACGGAGGCTGGGGTGCGAGCCCTCTTGGCTTGCAGGTCTCGGGTCTCGGAGCACCTGCCGGCAGGGAGAATGGTCTGCGCTGATGGGGCCAGAGCGGCTGCTCAGCCTTCGCGTGGAGGTCGCCTCTCCCAGGCGCCCTACTGCCCGGCAGGCTGGCCTCCCAGGACTGCTGGCACGGATGACCATGGACAGCATGTCACAGAACCACAGACAGCAGAAGAGCACAGAGAAAACCAAGCCGCCTGATTCCGACGTGGACAAAGGACTGGCAGAGACAGTTCTGCAAAGATGGGCCAATGGCCAATGGAAAGTCGCTCCACGTCATCAGTCACCAGGGAAAAGAGGACGAAACCCAGAGGGATGCTACTTCACACCTGCTAGGCGGTTATGAGAACAAAAGTCGAGCAAAAACTGATGAAACTGGGAAACAGCAAGTGACGCGCAGCAGCTGGATCCCATAGGTGCTGCTACTGGGCATGGAGATCAGTGCAGCAGCTGGGGCACCGTCCAAATGTCAAGCACACGATTACTTTCCATTTTTTTAAAGATTTATTTATTTATTTGAGAGGCAGAGTTACACAGAGAGAAGGAGAGGCAGAGAGAGAGAGAGAGGTCTTCCATCAGCTGGTTTACTCCCCAGTTGGCCGCAACGGCCAGAGTTGCGCTGATCCAAAGCCAGGAGCCAGGAGCTTCCTTCTGGTCTCCCACATGGGTTCGGGGGCCTAAGGACTTGGTCCATCCTCCACTGCTTTCCCAGGCCACAGCACGGAGCTAGGTCAGAAGCGGAGCAGCTAGGACTCGAATCGGCGCCAATATGGGATGCGGGCACTGCAGGCGGTGGCTTTACCTGCTATGTCACAGCGCTGGCCCCACGATTACTTTCTGATCCTGCAGTTCCACTCCTGGCAAAAATCTGAAAGCAGGGACTAGAACAGGTAAACCATATACAGCTTTGCAAGCAGATGCCTGTAAACCGTGCTCACGGCAGCATTATTCACAATAGACAAGAGGCGGAAATCACCCCCCCCTCCACCCCCCGGCCATCACCAGGGGGAGGATAACTCTCAGGTGATACACACCCAGGGGAGTACTGGTGAGCCACTATAAGGCAATGCAATTCTGACACATGCTGTGACACCGAAACATTACCTTTAGTGAGATGAACCAGATTCAAAAGGACAAATATTGCATGGCTCCACACAAATGAGGCAGCTAATGTAGTGTAATTACAGAGATACCCAGTAGAATAAGATGGCCAGGGGACCGGAGGGGGGAAAGGAAAGTAACTGCTTAATGGGTACAGAGTTTGTGTGAGTGCGGAGAGCGGTGATGGGTAGGCAGCACTGCGAATGTGTTAATGCCACTGAATTCTGCATTTATAAGTATGAAGATGAGAAACGTTCTGTTATGTATGTTTACCACAAAATATTTTTATTTAAAGTTTTATTTATTTATTTGAAAGGCAGAATGACAGGGAGAGTGGGAACTAGAGAGAGAAAGGAGAGAGCTCTTCGCCATCCACTGGTTCACTCTCCAATTGGGTGCAAGAGCCGGGGTTGGGCCAGGCCGAAGCCAGGAACCTGGATCTGCATCGAGGTATTCCTCGTGGGTAGCAGGGGACCAAGCACTTGAGCCATCCTCTGCCGCCTTCCCAGGCGTGTTAGTAGGAAGCTGGATCAGAAGTGGTGCAGCCAGGTCTCTGATATGGGATGCAGTCTTCATTGGCTGTACCTCAGAGCCCACTCCTTTTAAGATGTATTTCCTTTTTTTGTAATCACAGAAGTATTAAAAGAGAAAACAAACAGGAATGTATTCTTTCAGAGTTCTCGCAGCCAGAATTCTGAAAGCAGGGTGATGCCTGGGCTTTGCTGCCGCTGATGGCTTTAGATACCCTTCACCTTGCTGGGTAACTTTCAGCTATCTTCATGTGATCTTCTTCTCTGTGTGTCTTGCATGAGCACACTTGTTTTGGGTTTAGGGACCACCTAAATTCTGGGCATGAGGGTGTGGACGTATCTTTTTGGGGGTTCCTGTTCATCCCACTATGAAGCCCACCACCTAGACATCTCCCCAAGTGACTAGATGGGATGTGGGCACCTGAGCTCAGGACAGCCCATCCAAAGTCTGGCTGGGTACCTGCCTGTGGTCTAGACAGAACATTCAAGCTGGGCTGGTCAGGGTTGTGGTTTCTGAAGCTGGGTCTGGAAGAGATGGAGAGCCTGCACCAGCAGCCACCAGAGCAGGAGGCAAAAGATGCTATTAGCTAGAGTACCTGCAGCTGGCAGACATTGTGAGGAAGCAGGTGCAGCAAGTTACCAGGAGAAGCCAGTGAGCAGACAGAGGGAGGGGAAGAGGTGCCACGAGGGAGACTCTGCAGCTGACCAGAGGGGCAGACTGCTTGGTTCCTCATAGCCCTGCAGGTGCAGAGGGGCTGGGTGCCCCAACAAGAGGGAGGTCCATTCAGACTCTTTCTCTTGGTGTCACACATCCTAGTCAGGACCAGCACAGGCATTCCTTGTCCCATAGGGGCCTCAGCCTGCAATTGTTGTGGGACACCCTTGGTGAAGGTGACCTTGCCGACTTTCATGTCCCTTTGCAATGCGATTTTGCCTCCCTTCCATCATGAAGTGAAGTGATTTCTCCTCTCCTTGAATATGAGCTTGGCCATGTGACTTATTTTGGCCAATGGAGCATTAGCAGACGGAAAGCATTTGTGCACGGAGTTCCCCCTCGCTGTGGCTGTGGCTGTGGCAATGCTGAGGACACAATGTGAAGGGGCCTGGGCTAGCCAGAGTAGAGAACCAAGGCATCCCAGCCCGGAGCTTGTCAACAGCTGGACACGTGACAGGGACATTTAAGACCATCCAGCCCTGGTCAGACCACCAGATGACAATAGCTGCAGGAGTGACCTGGACAAGGCCAGCAGAAGAACCACTGGCTGAGCCCAGCCAAACACTTACAAAATTGTATGCCAGTATAATGGTTGTTTTGAGCCACTAACTTTTGAGGCTCTTTGCCACAGAGCAGTAGATACTTGACATAGTCCCCTCTAGCTAAGCCTCCAGCCACCCCAGGTACGGAGTCAGGGCCTGGAACTCGGCTCTTGGAGGCGGCTGGTGATGCATGGCAGATGCTGTGGTCTCCCACGAGCCAGCCTCCTTGTCTTCCTTTTAGTAATGGCCCACCTCCCCCCGACTCTGGAGGCTGTATTTCCCAGCCCTCCTTGCAGCTAGATGTGACTTTGTTCTCATCAGTGGAATGGAATGAGAACAGTGTACACACCTGTGTTACGGCTTCACCAGAAGCTTGCTTGCCCTGCAGCTCCTGCATATCTCCCATGCCACAGGCGGCTGCAGTGGAGGTGGAGAACAACTGTGTCAAGGCTACTCAGAGTGGGGTTCCAGAGCGAGCTGCTCACTGCCGTGCATGTTGGCGCGAGTGCAGAGTCAAGGTTAAGTGTTACTTTCCTAACAAACTGACAAGCTAACGTTAGGTCTGCTGCCTATAACAGTAATAAACAAACAAACAAACAAACAAATAAAAAACCAGGGCTTTAAAACTGTGCACTCGGCTGATGTGGGATGCGGGTCTCATGGCTGCCCTGTCTTTGTTTTAGCATAGACTATCCCAGGGGTCTCTTAAGTGGTTGTCTCCATTTTTTTCTTTTTCAGTGAGATGAGTGTGACCTTCAGTGGTTTCTTGCTTCCTATAGATGGTCATCCAGGCTATCTGAGGCCCACAGCGATCTGAGCCCCACCTCCGTCTCCTACCACACACACAGAACTCTCGCTGGGCTCATGTCTTGTTACATGGAGCCACTAACTTTCCCCCATGTGTAGGTTGCTTCCTCTACACGCTTGGCCATAGCACTGCCCTGCCCTCCCTGGAATGCCCTCCCCTGCTACCCACATAACTACTCCTCCTTCCAAGTCACCTCCCTGAGGTGGTCCCTGATTTCCCACATGGGAAGCTAATCCCTCACCCTCCAGATTTCTACAGTTTTTTTTTTTTTTTTTTTTTTTGACAGGCAGAGTGGACAGTGAGAGAGAGAGAGACAGAGAGAAAGGTCTTCCTTTGCCATTGGTTCACCCTTCAATGGCGCCGCGGCCGGCGCGCTGTGGCCGGCGCACTGCGCTGACCCAAAGGCAGGAGCCAGGTGCTTCTCCTGGTCTCCCATGCGTGTGCAGGGCCCAGGCACTTGGGCCATCCTCCACTGCACTCCCTGGCCACAGCAGAGAGCTGGCCTGCAAGAGGAACAACCGGGACAGAATCCGGCGCCCTGACCGGGACTAGAACCCGGTGTGCCGGCACCGCAAGGCGGAGGATTAGCCTAGTGAGCCACGGCGCCGGCCTCTACAGTGTTTTTATCTGAATGCTGCCACAGCCGGCTCTTGTTCCCTCTGCATGATACGTGCAGGGAGGGACAGTGAGAGGTGGGCGTGGTGCTGTCTGCGTTTGTTCACCTGGCAGCTGTTTACCTTCTGGTACCAGCCCCTCGGTTTTCTTCTGGGGCCCGGCTTCTTCCCCTGCCCCCAGCCCAGGTGCTTTGGACAGGGCTACTCCCTCCTCCCCACTCCTCCCTTGGACCTGGGGTCCCAGCCTGGTGAATTAGCACCTTTCGCTCTCTGGCTGCATGATCTGGTCAAACTGAACTCAGGACTCATCAGTCCAAGAGGAGCCTGGGAAGGACTTGGGGAACTGGGCAGAGGGAGATTTAGAAGGAAAAGATAGGAAGGAGGAAAAGTTCAGTCTCCGTGGGGTGTCAGATTGGGAGGATGAGATTCTGTGCTGCCAGCAGCCACATTGCCTCCACGTAGGGACGCCCCTGCAGAGTGAAGCCAACCAGAGGAGAACTGAACTGAGGGAGAAACTCCCATGATGCTGTTGGTGCACCAGACACAGCCACCTATAAATAAAAAAACATTTATTTGTTTTTCTTGTTTCCTCTGGCAGCATGTGGCCAGTCTAGGTCTTTGCTAAGTGCTTGTTATTTTCTGTCTTTTTTATTATGCTAATCCTTGTGATTATCAAGTGGTGTTTCATATGGTTTTCATTTGCATTCCCTAATGATTAATGATACCGAGCATCTTTTCATGTGTTCATTGGTTATTTGCATATCTTCATGGGAGAAATGTCTGTTTTGTCCTTTTGCCCATTTTCATATGGAGTTATTTATCTTTTTAGTATTGAGTTATAAGAGTTCTTCACATATTCAGGGTTCAGGCCCCACATCAGATTCAGGATTTGCAACTATTTTCTCCATTCTTTAGGATGTCTTTTCAGTTTCCTGAGGGTAAAATTTGTAGCACAGCGTTTTTAGTTTTGGCATTTAAGAAATAGCTGTACTGAAGTATAATTTATGTACCATGTCACCATTTGAAATTTACAATTCAATGTCTTTTTAGTAAATTTACAGAGTTGTCCATCAACATAATCCAGTTTGGGATAAAATATTTAATCCCCCCCAAAAAACTCTATTGTTTCCATTGACACTGCCAGCCCCAGGCAGTCGCTGGAGTTGCGGCTGACATATCCGTGGAATCACATAACAGGCGGTCTTCTGTGTCTGTTAGCACAGTGTTTCTGAGGTTTACCCGCGTGGAAGCTTGGATGCCTACTCTGTTCCTTTTAATCACTAGCAGGCCATTGTTTATCCATTCATTAGCTGATCCCTAGCTGGGCTATTTCCAGTTTGGAGCCATTGTGAGTTATGCTGCTGTGACTCAATGTAAGAAGATACTGCAGACTACGTGATTAAGGAGGCTGGGAGCTGCAGATCCAGGTGCCAGAAATTCAGTTCCCGGTGAGTGCTCTCTCCCAGCTTGCAGAAGGCGGCCTTGCCACTGCTGTGTCCTGGTTGGCAGTGGGACATACTACTTTTGGTCTCTTTTCCTCTTCTAGCTGGGGCCCACCCTCATGACTTCACTTTAATTTTTTTTTTTTTTGGACAGGCAGAGTGGACAGTGAGAGAGACAGAGAGAAAGGTCTTCCTTTTGCTGTTGGTTCACTCTCCAATGGCTGCCACGGCCGGTGCACTGCAGCCGGTGCACGGCGCTGATCCAAAGCCAGGAGCCAGGTGCTTCTCCTGGTCTCCCATGCGGGTGCAGGGCCCAGGCACTTGGGCCATCCTCCACTGCACTCCCTGGCCACAGCAGAGAGCTGGCCTGCAAGAGGGGCAACCGGGACAGAATCTGGTGCCCCGACTGGGACTAGAACCCGGTGTGCCGGCGCCGCTAGGTGGAGGATTAGCCTAGTGAGCCGCTGCGCCGGCCTTCCATCTCATTTTACTCCCCAACTGGCCGCACCAGCTGGAGCTGCGCTGATCTGAAGCCAGGAGCCAGGAGCCAGAAGCTTCTTCCAGGTCTCCCACGTGGTTGCAGGGGCCCAAGGACTTGGGCCATCTTCTACTGCTTTCCCAGGCCACAGCAGAGAGCTGGAAGGGAAGTGGAGCAGCCTGGACTCGAACCGGTGCCCATATGGGATGCCAATGCTTCAGGCCGGGGCATTAACCCGCTGTACCACAGCGCCAGCCCCAGCTATTGGTTTTTGATATATCTCATGCCTGCTTTGTTTGTCACTTGCTCCCGTATTATCTTCTTTTGTGTTAAAACTGATCTTCTTGGAGCTGGTGCTATGGCATAGTGGGTTAAGCCATTGTCTACAGTGCTGGCATCCCATAAAGGCACCGGTTCAAGTCCTGGTTGCTCCACTTCCAATCCAGCTCCCTGCTAACATGCCTGGGCAAGTGCCTGGGCCCCTTGCACCCACATGGGAGACCCAGATGGGGCTCCTGGCGCCTGGCTTCAGATCTGCCCAGCTCGGCAGTTGTGGCCATTTGGGGAGTGAACCAGTAGATGGAAGACCTCTCTCTCTGTGTCTTTCCCTCTCTCTCTCAGTAACTCTGCCTTTCAAATAAATAAAGCTTCGGCCTGGCCTAGCCCTGACTATCGTGGCCATTTGGGGAATGAACCAGCAGATAGAAGATCTCTCTGTAACTTCTCTCTCTCTCTCTATAATTCCGCCTTTCATACAATAAATACATCTTAAAAACAAGCAAACTGACCATCTTATAGCAAGCCATGTTAACTTCTTTGTTCATTTCTAAACTATCTTTATTGAGTGAGTTTCTTAATGGTTTCCCCAGGGATTACAATATGCCTCTTAATTTACAAGCCAGGAGGATAAAAGGTTTTATTTGACAGTTTATTCACTTGAATTATGACTTCTTAACATGCAAGCATTTGGCACGTGCTCTCCATTTGTGCCCCTGCTTTGGGCTCTGCCTGCCCCTCTCACGTTCACAGGCGTGCGTTTTTCCACATGGCCACTTTCAGACCATGAGTTATATATTATAAATGCTGCAGTTATATATCCTGATTTTTTTTAAAGTTTCTATTTTGAAATCGGCATTTTTATTTGCCATAAATCTTTGTAAACTTCTGTTTTTGAAGTCTGTGTTGCACGCCCTTGAGCGGAGCCAGCAAGCTCAAGGTCATCATTTCCCTCCTTTGGCACACTGAGGTCATGTTCAATCGTCACACGCCCCACCCCCCCACTCCTTTTTTAATGCTGCAATGAGGTTGTTGGTGCACATAACTCTCGCTCCGTTTTAGAATCTTTGGCTTCAAGGAACAGTGGTAAAATTACCCTGCTGAAGAGAGCAAATATTTTCATAGTTCTCAATGTCCACCCCCTACTATTTTCCTTAAGAATGAGAGCAGTCTGCTCAGGTCCTGGCCATCGCTGGGGCTGGTTGTTTTGTCACCACTCATGAGCCCTGGGTGCCCCGAGATGCTTGTCTGTTTCCTGTGTGTTTCTGTGGTTTGGGCGAAGCTGGCCGCTTTCTATAAGTGCAGTTGCTGGTTGGAACTTGCTTCAGGTAAGCTGCTTCATGGTGCTCCTTGCCTATATAAGGCTCATTTGTTCGTAGCTATCAGTGTGTGTGGACGCGTGATGTAGCCTTTGCTCAAAATTTTCAGGAAGGAAAGTCCAAATACATAAAAATCAAACTAACGTTTTACCCACCTTGAATGCTGCAAGTATTTTCCCTACTTGCCCGTTTTCAGTGTTTTTGTTTGTTTGTTTTGGAACCTAGAAAATCTACATTTCTCTGCAGTCAGACCTGCTCATCTTTCCTCTGTGATTTCATCAATCATGTCCAAGTTTAACAACAGACAGCCTCCTCCCCAGAGACTTGGTCAATACCCAAGGCTCTCAATAGTTTGCCTTTGGTTGCTAAAAAGTCTGCTAACTCCTTCATCCATGTCCAATTTCTCTGTCAAAAATGCCCGTCTTCTGAGGAAGAGAGCCATCTCAAAGGCCAAGGGTCTCACAACCGGTGGTGGCCTCCCCAGGGGCCCCTTGTCTGACTGCATCCAGCCGGGGAGAGAGGCGACAACACAGGATCAGAACTTGGCCTGGGCCCTCCGGAGGCCAGCCCCGAGCGGTGGGAGGGACCCGGCTCAGAGCGCGAGCGTGAGCTCTGGCTGTGTAGGAGCCCTCACCCTTCAGTCGTTGCTCTGCAAAACAGGGCCAGGGATTCCTGTCCACCAGGGTTGTTGTG